TGTAAGTTTAAAAATAAAATAAACAAATAAATAAAACAGTAGAAGGGTAGAGAGGATAAGTTCACTGTAAAGGTGGATGAATCCCTTTTCATTCTTCCCAGCCACTGGTCCTACTATTTACCCACAGTTTCAGGTGAATCTTAATCTTGAGAGCCAATTTCATTGCCAAAATTGTAGGTAATAAGCCAGCCAACCACTGTGAGGCCAGCTTTGTAGTCTAATACCATGAGATCCTGACTTGTCTATACACAGTGAGGTGATATCAGTGTTTGGAAAATGTACTAGCATTTTCCTATGCTGACATGACTTGCAGCATTTGCTTTGCTCTGCGTGCCAGGTACATAGAATTCCTGTGCTGTGTCTGCAGCAGAACCCTGCTGCTGCTAGGACTGCTGTAACTAAAAGAAGTATTTTCCTACCAAAAAAAAAATCTTCTTACTAATGTTCGTGCTTTATATCAGACTGTTAAGGCTAGGTTTGCTCTAAAGAAACTTTTCTGGCTTTATTAAGCTTACACTGATGATCTACTCAGTCTACTGTCCTTAGAAGGGATGTAAATAAAATGTTTTTCAGTGAAAAATTTTTTCACCAAAACGGTTGTTAAACATTGGAATGGGCTACCCAGGGAAGTGGTCAAGTCACCATCCCTGGAGGTAGAATCATAGAATCACAGAATGTTTTGGGTTGGAAGGGACCCCTAGAGGTCATCTAGTCCAACCCCCCTGCAGTGAGCAGGGACACTGCTAACCAGATCAGGTTGCTCAGAGCCCCGTCCAACCTGGCCTTGAATGCTTCCAGGGATGGGGCCTCCACTACCTCTCTGGGCAACCCGTTCCAGTGTTTCACCACCCTCATTGTAAAGAATTTCTTCCTTGTATCTAGTCTAAACCTACCCTGGTTTAGTTTAAAACCATGACCCCTCGTCCTGTATTCAGAAGTTGGGCAGAAGAAGTGCTTAGGGACATGGTTTAGTGGTGGGATGGCAGGGCTAGGTTAATGGTTGGACTTGATGATCTTAAAGGGTTTTTCCAAACTAAATGGTTCTGTGATTCTAAATAGGACAACTTATAAATCTTGACAACTGTGAACTTTGCATGAGTTTGAAAATGAGCCTTTAGGCTGTAAATTTAATAGGGGAAGGGAAGTATAGTAATTTTTTTGTTCCACATGAAACATTTAGTGTATGGGATTGTGGCCCATGTCTAGGGTTGCTAGGAATGACAGTACTAATAATTGATTTCTTTGATTTAAGGCTGCTTTTATATAAACCTATTTATAACATGGGACTTCTCACATTCCTCTGACCTTAACAACTGCAAGGCTACAAGCACAAGTGTTTGAACTGAGATACCTGTTGCTCAGCCACTGAAATACCATTGACTGATACTAACATTGCTTTGCAGGTAAGGGCCCTCTCTCAATAGAGAGAGTGGTGGAAATTGTGGTTTCAGAAGCAGAGACAGACAGCTATCCTGTCAGAGTTACTAAGATGGCAATAACTTTCACTGACGGATCAGAGAAAGACAAGGGCCACATTGCAGCACTTCTTGGAATGACCAAATTAAAAATGGCACCAGTCACACTGAGGAAAACAGGAACACAAGAGACTTACCCATGTTATACCCTAAAGAGCTGTAGAAACACCCAAAAAACGTTGGAGGTGCCTTTGGTTTTTTCTGAATGTCAAGCTTGCTGTTGGTTTTGTATATGACTTCAAGAAAAATACTCTTTGTTACTCCATCTTACCTGAGAATGTGTAAAAATGTACTCAGTGTCACATGCTGTGATAACACTTTTTAGTCCAGTGGTGGATGCAAAACAGTTTCCAAAAGTATGGAAAATGAGGCTGTAACCTGCAAAACGTAGGGACTAAGATCCCTGGCAGTATGTGAAACTTGGAAAGATTGGCAACTTGTGACTGCTGCCTTATGCCGTGCGTCAGTCTTGACTTGCAACAGCCTTTTGTTACAGTGCTTCTTGGCACCTTCTTTGCAGGACCACCAATAGTGACCAGTTGCTCAGCAGTTTTGCAGAATTGCTTGGATGATCAGACCAAACATTCTCAATTGTGACCCAAGTCTGAATTTGAGCTGGAGCCCACGGAGGTGAAGAGCTGCTCTGTTAACTCACAACACTGCTTGCTATTGGCTTTGCCAGAAGGCTGCTCTGTGAACAGCTGCTGTTGCACAGAAGCCCAAAGGAAAGCCGCCTCAGTTTTGCCCTAGTCCTTTTAACTCTACAAGTCACTGCAACATACCCAAGTGCATGGTAAACTACAGGTGGTCACTCCAGCGCAGAACAGGCTGTACAGTTGACTTTACTGAAACATGAACTATCTCAGTCCTAAATTATTTTAATCCAATCAGTCATCTGTGTTAAAGGGTGTAAAGAGACAGCAAAGCGGAAAGAATGGCTGCCAAGTAGAGGATACGGGACACAAATAAAGCTGCTAAGATGAGATGAAATATGAACTAATAATGATTTATTCCAAATGCCGCTGGGGTTACAGTGTGAATCACTTAGAGAGATATTCAGGTGAAATGAATTTTGTAGGCTTTCCCCTGAATGGTTTTTATAGTCTCAGTAGAGATGAAGGGAAGGCAAAGCTGTTAGTTACACAGGGAGTACACACGAGAGTTTTGAAGTGCTCCCAAATTAATGTATGCTTTTCAAGCCTCTTGTAAGTAGACGAGCACAAACAGCTGTAGTTCTTTTTATAGGTACAAACTAATCTCTAGTACATATTGGAGTTGAAGGATATAGAGAGCAACATGCTGCGAATTCATAAGGCTTTTCTAGCCATGGAAGTATTCTTTTTATACCCTCTAAAAGTGGAAGGGAATGCAGAAGAGAGCAGAGTATAGTCTTCAAGAATACAACTTGAGAGCAAAATCATGACAGGAGCAAAGGGTCTAGCTCTTAATGACGCATACCACACACTTCTTATTAACACATGAAACAGCATGTGTGAGTTTTGACCTATTTTCTTGACAGGTTCAGCCTTTTGTGACCTGTATGAAAAGGGCAGCATTTGCTAGCATTTCTTCCCAGTTTTCACTAGTGTGAATGGCCTTCATGACAAAGGATGGGAAGAATTACATGTTTCATCTTTTTAAATAATTTTAAAAGCCTAAGCAATAAGTCATAATAAAATTCCTTACACTTGATGGATATCTTTGAACATGCTTCCTGTTTGAAGATGGTGAGTTTTCTCCCTTCTTTCTCCTTATTGCTAGCTGTATAGATTATCAGTTTAATATTGTCCTCTGCCTGGAGACAATATCCGGTTGTGGTAGGTGAAGGGAGGAAGTGTAATAGCTGCTTTCCATCTCTAATGCCTATGATTTTATTTACATTAAAACATCCTGGATTTCAAACAGTTTGTTTCTTTTGGCAGTTAATTACCAGCCTAAATGGCTCACTTTTACATGTTCTAACATTTGGCTGCTGCAGAAATCATTATCACCTCCATTTTTAGTTTTAATAACCTTCCTTTTAATAAACCTCAGTTTGAAGTAAGTTTCCAAAAGTTTGCTTCAAAACATGCCCCAAATCTTCTGGAACTCGCTGATTACTTTTTTCCCCTCAAAGGAATAAGCTGGTTACATTTTTATTGATTTTATGGCTTTTTCTTATGTGACGTAAGGAAGAACTGATTTACTTAGGACAAAATGACTTGCTGGGTTCCCTCCATTATTGCAACCAAAGGGAGAACTACTGGAGGGCCCTGGGGAAGAACGGTTTCAATAGCTCTTTGTGCCCTGTGCTTTTGGGCTCAGAAGGTACATATCCCCACTGTGGACTGACTATACCTCATAATTCTTGTGATGTAGACTGCTAAGGATTGCAAATTAATTCTGTCCATTTATTCTCAACGACTAGAAGGAGCACCAGGGAAAAGCAGAAAATCACTATTTCATATAAATCTTTTCCTTTCCTTTTGGGGGAATAAGTACAATCTCATGGATTTAGTCACTGTGGAAAAAAACATCAGCTATAAGGATGCTGCTCTTTTGGGGAAAAATTAAAGTGGGGACGGTGTGGATTCCATACATCTCTAGAACAACTATTTTTGGAGAACTAACTCTTCTCCTCCCAAGATTTACTTTAGAAAAGCACATCTAAAGGTAAACCACTTTGAGGTATTAGAAGGCAGACTTACCCATTAGACATTTCAGTACAAACATTGCTTTGAATTCCGCATTCTTCTCATGAAACCTGGTAAAGGGAAGTTGAGGGGAGTTTCCTAATACTTTCCCATGGCTCTGGGGAGGTTAGCTAAGAGTGGGTTAAAATGGTCTTCTAAGTGATTGTTGGAAAAAGAAGCCAAGAATGGAAAGGGCCATAACCTCATCTTCAGTGTGATTCCTTTGCCCAGAATCTCAGAAATTGAAATAAAGATCTGAGACTTCAAATTACTGCTCACATGCATTGCCTTTCAATTGGATTGTAGAAGAAAATGAGGGAAAATGTATCATTAATGAGGGAAGGGAGCACTGACTGTGTGATTAAGTTTTCATTTGGCTGAGGAACATCACAATAATGAAGAAACCATCTTCAGGAAGTAACGTACGTTTTTCCCAAAATCTCTCAGGTTTAGCTCAGTAATAGGTTTGAAGTTAAACTACACTAAGTGAACAAAGGTCAGTTTTGAATCGCATACTTCCCTTTCCTCTCCAGTTAATCCTAGGAGGCTTGTAGGTAAGATCCATGCAGTGGTGGAATATACCTGAGCAGAGTAAAATCCAAGTGGAAAAAATTTTGTGAGCTGCATAAAGAAGAGATAATAAAATTACAAAGTGACTCAGATCAGGAAGTGAACCACTGGTGAGAGTTCTGATGCTGAAAATCTTACTCCCCTGGCCTTTATCCTTGCTTGTCTTGCATTGTGTCTTTGTAGGAGCATTTCAGAACAATGTAGGAAGGTGTTCTGGATTTAGCTGGTCCGTAGTTGTTCCAGAGGTATTGGCTAAGGGGACATTCTGGCTTGCACCATTCAGTTAGCTGTTTGACTTTTTGTTCTGCTTGTGGCTGTTGATCTTAGGGTACAGGAAACCAGAGTTGTATCTTGAAGACAGCTCTACTCCTTGGACATTGCTGTATGTTATTGTAATGCTGGGTATCTGGGATGCAGGTGGTCCACAGTAAGACTCTTCTTTTCTTTGTCCAATACTATTCAGGCTCTCACCTCTCTAAAGGTTGCAAGGATTTGAAAGAAATGGAAAACTAAAACATCTACAAGGAGATCAGGTTGCATCATCTATGAAAAAGTGGCATATATTTAGATAAGCCAATCCCCATGACTAACTCAAAACCAAACTTAAAGGATGGAGGAAATAGTAGATCTGAACATTTTTTGAATCTTTCATGAACAACTTACGAGAAAAAAACCTGTTAAACAAGTTAATGTACTAAAGCACGGATTTTGCATTTGCTACTTAAGAGCTGGTCTACTTTAATGAAAGAGCAGGCTAATGACAGCATATTCAACTATGAACAAAAGTGCTGGGAATATGTTCAGACAGTCTACTAAATCAATGAAGTAAGGCATCCTTCCGTAAAGACGGACTGTTTAGGTTCCTTGGAGCAAGAGGTGATGCAAAATATTGATAACAGCATGGATAGTTCGAAGGGGGAAGCAAGCTAGAGAATGAAGTGAAAGCAGGAATTGAGGAGAAGATTAATCAGCATTTTTTGACAATAGCAATGTTAGCTGTCACTTGCACAGGACCAAAAAATGAGTGTTAGGTTGAGGCTAGCAGTAGCTCATAAGGATCACTACTAACAATAAAGAGATAATTTAAGATGTTCATATTACATTGGGGTTAATACTGTAAAGATAAAACTGGCTTGTTTTCACCTGTCAACTCTTCTCTTATTTTCCTGTCTGTCAAGAATTAAGGCAAGTTGACTCATTTGTAGCAGATGTCAAAAAATTTTTATCAGTTTGCTGTAGCTTTGTTATAAGGAAGAAGAAATAGACGCTAACACAACATCTTACCAGATAGGTGATATGGCATGTTTCAGAAACTTACCTTGATTTCCTCCAAGTTGCTTTTTTTAGATGTTTGGTGCTACCCAAAATAGAGAAAATTAAATAATTAACAATGTCACTTAGTACAGCAGTACACACAAGACTCTGACTGTCTCAGAGGTACGGCCATCGGAATGGCTATCTATCTCAGCTTACTGTGTATATTATTCACATAAAGATGGCACAAAATGCTTCCATGCTCCACTAAGGAAATCACAGACCTTATCAGGGGTCCTACTGAATTCAAGATAATATTCAAGTTCCTTGATGAAGTTGGACTTAAGGAGAACCCTGTAGTACACGTGTTCTCCTTCTGCTTAGTTTCAGCAATGGTCTACCCTTTGTGGTCTTGTTTTCTATAGTCTGCTGGGAGTATCATGTGATTTTTGCATCTCAGAAAATAACTTTATTTGTGCTTAGAGACTGGGGTTGTCATTAGTTTTTATTGTCCCAGTTAGTTAGACCCATACCAAATATTAAAATAATAATTCTTACAGTAGGTGTAGCATTGTACTCTGTGACATTGAATTCCACCATGGATATGTCATCAGCATCTACAGCTGTCTGAAAAATGAACACAGATAAGAAAGACATAAATGACATATAGGTATGTCACAGCATTTTACATATGTGAAAGGCAAAGTATGGGAAAAAGAAAAAAAGGGGACAGCAGACAACTGACTGAAAAGTGGTGATACACTAAAGACAACCTTGTTTTTTACCTCTCACCATAAGTGTTCATTTGATAGCAAATTGTGAGACAACAGAAAGATTGACCAAGTAATTTGGACAGCGAAATACAAATATTACTGAACACACACTTAAAACCAAACATAAGGCAACATACTGTTCAGATGCTAAGTTCACTAAAACAGCACCATTGCTTGTCAGAAATGCTACAAAGCTGAATAATGAAGCAGGGTGGAAATAAAAAGCTGACGATCTTTTACAGCCTCTAAGTCATTACTCATTGTGTTAACTCATAGGTTATCTCCATGTTCTTGGCAGGAACCTTCATGATTAATTATGTTAAAATGTGCAGATTTGTTAACCTACAAGTTGTCAGAGAATTTAGGTATTAATGCAGTCTATTACCTTCTCACAAATCCCAGAATCATGGTGCTTCAGTTTAAGTTTGGCTCTTATGTCACTAGTTTGAGTTGTGTCTTTACCCGTGTCATAGGAAATCTGTCTGCTAGCAAGTCTGGAGAAGATATTGGGGGTACCAGTTTCTGTGTCAGTACAGCCCTAAAATGAATACAGCAAAAACAATCACAGTAGGTTCCTCAGGCTTCCATCCAATTTGCCCCATGAAAATAATTTTTACCTAGACAGAAATTGTAAGAGACAGACATTGTATAAAAGACATTGCACAAAAGTTCTGCCACATATGACTTCATAAAATCTTTGCTTGTAAGAGGTACAAACAATCAAGTCTGTTGAGTCTAAAATTTGGCTTACTGTTTCTTTTTTTCATCAACATGATCCGCTGCAAAATTTCAAACAAAATAGTGTTTCATTATAGTCTATTGTTGAACCTTCTCTGATGCACCTTGTAGCTCTGAGGAGAGTGTTTCCCAATTAGGAAGTACCCAATTAGGAAGCACAGGTGTTTGGAGGAATTAGGGCCAAAAATTTCCGAAGTGGCTTGGGTGGAAGCAGAAATAAATAGGAGGTAATGTCTGGGGACTGCACGAATAAATAGGAGGTGATGTCTGGGGACTGCAGAATCACTGCTTTAGAAACATTTTGTTCCATGAAGGAGCCCTGATGTTATAAACTGTTCCAATTAATGGGAAAACAAAAAAATAATAAGATAAAAAACCCCAACCCACACGAATTTCCTGGAAGTCAAAAATTCTGTTCCTTTTCCTCACTCTGTCAGCCTTTTCACTACAATGTGGAAGAATCACAGAATTCCATAGATCATAATAAAAGAATGAAACAGCTAATGGGGTTGTGATGAGCAGCTCATGGCAAACCAGCCTGTTTTCTTTTTGACAGTGTACCTTGCCTTAAAATGGGGGAACATAATAGGACAACATACTGTCTTAAATTTTTTCATGCAGCAAGGGTTTTTCATACACAATCTGTGTGCTTTGGATGTAGCTTCCATCAGATGAGAGTATATAATTGCTTGAAAATACTCAAAGCATTTATTGATACTTTCAATATTTGATACTTTCCATTATTAATACATTAATAAAATTTCCCCAGGGAAGAAAATAAAAATAAGAGGTGTAGAAAAACATGAACCTTGATGGAACTGGAGAAACTGACTTGACGAGTTTGTTACTATTGAGAGAGAATCCCAATTAGTTATGCTATACCAGAATTTTAATACATAACAGATTGATTGCTCTAAGGAGGATCAGGATAATTTTTTTCTGTGTAACGGTGGAGAAGGATAAGGGGAACACAGAAGAAGAAGAAGGAAAATTTAATTTAATTTGGAACAGTGACAATCAAGATTGTATTTTCAGAAGCAGCTTTCTAACTATTGGGGAAGCAATAATGAAGATGAATCTACAGAGTGAAGTGTCTCAAGACTAAAGTGTCTGCAAGGAAGATTTTTAGAAGAGCTTAACAAAATATCCACAGGACAGTCTGGATCCCAGTATTTTAAAAAATGTGTACTGTGCTTCCCATTCCATGCATAGAGTGTATTAGCACTTACAGTCCCACTTGATTGAATTTTAAAATGGAAGCAACTTTATTTTCTGAGCATCTGTTCCGGAGCTCGGCTCCTTTTCATTGCAAAGAACTGACTGGAAATTGTTTCTTTAGAATTTTCCAAAGTGCAGAATATCTTTGTGTCCACAGGAGTACAAAAAAGTTGCATAAAGATAATTTATCGGTTTACAGTTTGATGACCAGCCTTGACATAAAATACAGGGCAGCATATGTACAGCCTTTTCGCATTGTGAATGTATGTCTAGAAATCTTATAGCTAAATTGAGCCACATATGGTGCAAAAAAACCCAAAATAAATGATCAGCGACTATCGAAGCAATTTTGTTTGTTTATTTTAAGCTTGAGCCCTTCTTTCATCTCTGTACTTCAGCTAAACTGATATTACTAATAAATCAGAGTATTCTATGGTCAAATCAAATAATTAGGGGAAACATATGTTCTTGTCAAAAGGTCTTGATTCCATCATTGTTCTGAACAAGATCCAAACTTACTCAAGGCTATAGAAAATTCCAGACTGAAGCATGCCAATTGCTTGGAATTTTTTACTTTAGGTAATTTTTGTTCTGCATTCCACCTGTTTATCTCAAGTACTAAGAATTGCTTTCCTAAGCAAAAACAGTTGTTGAATTGTTTGCCTGGTTCCCCTTCCCCAGCACCGATAGTGGTACAGGGACACACAGTGTTACTAAAGCAGGCTGTTGTTTTTTTAAGAATCAGGATTCACAATCTAAGAGTTGCGATATTAAAATGTTCCTTTTTTATTAGCCAGTTTTAAAACCTTCCACCTGAATGATGGCTACTAGCCAGAAGAATTTAATTTTGAATGGACTGAGAAGTCAAAAGAATATACAGTACAAAAAAAAATTGAAAGGTCACTGTTAAAAACAACTGTCAATATTCAGTGCTTGGCTGGATTAGATACAATTATTACCTTGACTATGAAAAAGAACCACCAAGAAAGTTACGGCTTTTCATATATTTGGAAATTTCATTTAAAACAATTGCAATGAACTAACTAATGTGCTTAGTTACTTAGTAATGTAACTAGGTTTGCAGGAGCCTAAGATGCCAAATATTTGCCCTGTTTCCAGCTGCTGTGCAAAACTTTTGGTTTCGCTTGGGCTGGCAGGAGCAAGCTGTTGCATTCTTCTGTGAGAACGCTCCTGTAATGGATTTACTGATTTGTCTAAATCTGATGATTAATATGTTTCCAAATACAGTCCACTTCACTTTCAGAAAGCATTATCTGTTTCATTACAACCTTGCTTTCTCTAGAGAACTATTTAGTGACCTGCAGTTTCTTTTTTCTGTGTGTCCAAATCTGTGGTCAGACAAGTACATCCTAGAAGCATGATCAGACTTTCAAGGGTGCTCTGACTCTAAGCTTCCCTTACTTTCTAAAATTCCTGTTGTTCCATCTTTCCACTTTTCCTTCAATGTCACATACCATCAAGAATAAAAAGATCTACCTTCTACTTTTACACTTCAGCCTTCTGCCTTTTATTGCACTTTGTCCCTCTACTTTCTGTGGAGCTCTTGTAATGAGCAGCATAATGCGTTTCATCTACAGAATCTACCACTTTGAAAATGAATTACTTTGCAATTAAAAATGGATGTATGGAAAGTGTCTCCCTTACTGATTCACTGTCAGAGAGAGAAGACAGACACCTTTTTCCTTTCTGCGGCCCACTTAGCTCAGAAGACTGGCTGGTTACAGTTGCTCGTCTGGAGGAGGGATAACTGCTGAAAGACTGTGAGTCTTTAGGAGAAACTCTCAGCAGGGATCCAAGGCAAGGAACATATGTTGCAATGGCTGTTCTAATGGATGAGAGGTAGAATCAGTCAGATTTTTTCTGTTAGCACAAAAATTCAGTCATAAACAATGCATTTATTCAGAGAGATGAACTAATGCTGCATGGACTGGAAAATTACTGCATACAAAAAGAGTTTTCCAGATCTCCAATATCTCATATAAAGTCACCCTGCAAGATCACTTATTCACAGTGTTCTGCAGAACTCAAATTTATTGCTTGTCAGGGATAAGGGCATTAAAGTATAACTCTTCGAACTGAAGGGAGCTATTAAAGTGATGTTTTATCTGCTTTCAGCTTAATCAGGGCAAAAATAAAATTCTGTCCCTTTAAACTGAACCTCACAGAAGTACCACATAATGAATTATGTTAATCTTCCCCTAAGCAGCTATTCTAGCTTCCTCTTCCACATCTGTTTGCCAGCTATCTGTAAAGTTGTACAAAATGTGCAGTTATATTACAGTATTTCTTTCCTCATATGCAGCGTAAGGCAGCTCTTTTGCCTAGCTTTCCTTTTCCTCCCAGCCTTCCCCACTGAGATGTTCATGCCCACCTCTTCTCTACCCAGTTCCCCAGTAGGTCTTTGTCAAGGGTGAAACAACAGCGCCTTCGCTGCCGTCCATCAGATCTCACAGCCTGCATCTGAACTGGATATGGTAATGACCCTAGATATGACCCTAGATGTTACAACTCAGAAGAAATACTGTCCGAAATATGAAAGCTTGAAGAAGGGTGGGGAGGATGCACAAAACAGGGAAGAGGTGGATTGACTTGCTAAATTGCATCTCTCAGCGGCCTGGTTAATTTAACAAACTGCTATCTGCAACACTGACAAATGTCTGCATCTCTCACAAAGAGAGTTAAAAAATTTATGGTGCTTTCCTTTGAGGTGGGAAGGTGTCTGTCTTTTATCATGTAATCTCTAAGTGCAGATCAGTATCCATAAACATCTCTAACTCTCATCTGCATAGTAATTTCTTCCAAGTACAAATTCCACTGACATTTTTATGGCATTGAGAAGTTTTCTTGGGGAGGGCGAGGCTGTCTTGCAGAGGTAAAATGAGCAGGTGGAGCAGAGTTCATGTACTAGTCCTGAAAGTGACAAAGTTACTGTCTGATTTTCTTTGCTATATTAAACATAGCTTATAAGAGCGAACTTACCTGTATTTGGGGTGAGTGATGGCATAAATGATGGGGTTATGGATGACAGAAGCTTTGGCAATCACAGCTGGTATGGAGTTCATGAAGGGTGTTAGGACGTGGGAGTACCTGGAGTAACGCAAATGCATTACATATTTAGTATTGAGTTCTACGTAGTCTATGCAGTTATACACTGACAAGACAATGCTTTATTAGAGAGAGTAAAAGGTGTACCCAAACAGTGAGAGGACAAATTTTACATCCTCTGCCTGTAAAGATCAACACCAGCTTAATTGCATTTCTGAGAAACATGATTTTCTTGGGGCTTCTCTTGCAGCACTTCACTACTATGACTCAGGATGGTGGTAATTCCCATGTTGTTTATCCTAGGGACAAAGTCAATGAATGTGCATTCATCAGAGTATCTATCTGTTCCAAATTCAGCAGATACTTGCTGAGTAATATATCACTAAATAGGTATGCAGAATGAGGCATTATGCAAAAAGATAATTAATAAATCTATTTTCCTATTCAAACTTTATTTTTTGCCTGATCTGAACTAAAAAGTGTAGGGGAAGTATTTTTCTGAACTAAACAGTGAAGGGAAGGTATTTTCAGGTGTCATATGTTATGCTCATGTGTTACTGTGACCATGCCTGTATGCAGGCGATATGACTCTAAAGGATAAAAGAATTACGACTGATGTCTATCGGCCATGCTGCTATCAGCCAGTTTATTTTTGAAGGTAGCCTGAAGTAGCCCATAAGGTCTTGGTCAGAAGAAAGTCAATAGAACAACTCAGACCAAAATAACAATCACATTTCATAGGTGGTTTCTACAGGCAAATTCTCCATAGACCTGTTTAGAGGCTATGAAGACCTCTTACGGCATTGGTAGAAAGAGTCCCAAGTGAAAAGGCCCAGTAAGTGAGTCTTTCCTCCCAAGGATAACATCCTTTCTTTGTCACTGCTCTTCTTCCTGAGAAGACAGTCTAACCTCCATCTTTCCGGTAGCCTTGTACTCCTATAATATTATGGGAGGGAGAAAACATGTTTTCCCCTCAATCCTTTCTCAGAAGGTGTCTCATATGAGTGCTGCAAACAAACAACGAAGAGGGTTGCATAAGTAGGTGGCAGCTTATCTTCCTGGTGAAGAAATTTTTCATCATACTATGGGAATATTGATGCTCTGTGATGAGGTGGAAATGGTTTGCCAATGGTAATACAGGAATCATTTTAATGTCAGCCACCTGAATGTTGAGATGCCATTTCGCCTCTAACTTAAGGCTTTTCTCTGCTAAGCATGTTCTCCATATACAATTTTTAACATGGTTTCTCCTAATCATACTTTTAAAGCACTGGTTAGAGGTGTAATTCTTCACAGAGCCTGGAGAACACACGACAGTATGACCTTGCTGGGATGGAGTTTTTGACACTGAGATGAGATAGTACTTTAATAAGACTGATGGAGAGTTCAGCTAACAGAAGCAGTGACAAAGGCTTTTGTCTAAGCTAACATTCCCAGAAAATACAACCTGTAGACCAACAATATTAGTGAGCGTGACTGTATGCTATCTCAGTATTCCCCATCCAAAATATTTTCTAAAGGAATTAAGGTTCTTCCTTCATTTTGTGTATGTTGTTGCTCTGTCAGATGAGTTGTCTTCAGTCCAAGACCATAGCCACAGACTCCCTTTCCGCCTCCCATATATGGCATACAGTGATTTTGTCTGAGTTTGTTGTAATAAAAGTCCACAGAAGGCCTCCAGGCTTGGTCTATTAATCTCTGAAAAGATTAGGATTGCCTAAAAGGCGTAGTTCAGAAATGGAAAAAAAGCTGAATGAAGCCGTGTTCCTCACCAGATGTCTTCATGAGCAAAATTTGCAAATGCTCATTTGTCACATACTGTAGAGTTATAAAATTGTCCATTTGTTCAGATATTTGTCAGTGTGAGACATGGGCTACAAGTCAAGTTCAACACATCCTAAAATAGCTGCTGAATCGTATGGGACAGCCTGACAGTTCTACATAGCTAAAATGCTTAGCTTAAAGCATCTCTTTTTTTTCTGGGTTTTTTTTGAGGTATCTTAGAGCAAGTAGTGCTGCAAGGTAACTGTGCTACATTTCTTTGTGTTCTTGCTCTTCCTTTGTCTCTAGCTGGTCACATATCACCAGAGGTGGGTGCCCAGTACCTTAGTCCCCCTGTGATAGGTAACAGGACACTGGGATGCATCCTAAGGATTCACATTTCTGAGTGATTTACCTTCATGGACAAAATATTTGCTGCTGCATGGAATTGTCCCTCTGCATACAAAGGGAGAGAATCCTCTTCTCTCAGCATTTTTTCTTCTTAAGCATAAGATTTTAGAAGTGCTATGTTTAGGAAGCTGCTTTCCTAAGCTGTGTTAGAGAAGGGGCCCTGCAGTGACCTCTTCATTAGGTGTGTAACAAAAATCACCCCTGCCTCCCAAAATGCAGTAAATTTATCCAATTTTAGGAAAACCTACTTTTTATTTCTGACTTGAAAAATACAAATGGAAGTGGTTTGTACTGCCATAGTAGTCTTCCACCTGAGGATTTGCAGTTGACAAGACTTTCTAAAGCCACACACATTTTACAAAGGCTAAACTGAAGCACAAGAAAATTCACGTTAACATGGGAGAAATATCCACATGGAGCCGCAATCTGTTACTTGTACCTGGATTGTATCAACATAGTCTGGTGTCAAGCTATGTACAGATACTGTATTAATAGTATCATGCTTTTGTTGAATTACTGTATAAAATGCTGACTATTAAATAGATTAAGATCATGGTTAAATGATTTATATTTACAATCTTTTATATCCAGCATCAAAAAGCTCCCCAATGCAAGTATGTACTAATTTTGAACTTGCTTGTATATGTAAGGAATTGCAGCAGTTTGATGTAATAAAAGAAAATTAGTAAACTTCTGTAAGTAAAAAAAGTGGAGAAAGAAAAGAGAATCAACCCTGGGTGGATCTTTTGGGGCCCCTTATTTGGCACTTTGGTGCTAAATAAAGTTCAGATAGTTCAAATATCCTAGCATAGAGAACCTGCATTCAGAAGTCATCAGCACAGTAATGTTATGTTGCCAGTAATAACCTTCCTACTTTCTTTTTCTTTTTCTTTTTTTTTTCAAGTCAAACTAAGAAAAAATCACAGTCAGCATATACCTCATTTGTTAAATGTCAGTCCTAAATACATGAATGTTTTGGATGCACTTCAGGCATTAAACTTGACAGGTAGCTTTGACTTTCATCTGTCTTTTACAGTTTTACACCTTTTGCTTTCACTAAATATTCCCTTGCTGATACATTCATAATTACCCAGCAAAAGCTACCAGAGCAACAACAGAGTATGGTGACCAGGAAATGACATAAAGCAAGATGACAATCAGTGCAATTTTGGCCATCTTCCACTCTTTTTTCATCCTGTGATACTGTTTCTGGATTTCCTTATTTCCATGTTTGCATCCGAATGTCTGAATAGACCTAGGGGAAATAAACATACAACAGCAAAAAAAGGAGGTAGGGAACTGAGCAAATAGCTTCATAAAATGGGGCAGCACTTACTCTTATGCTAGTTTATGCTAGAAGTCATGCGCTTTTAATGAGTTTATGTATGTGACTGGTCCTTCACAATTCAATGCACTTTTGTTGCACTGATCAATGGCAAAATTCACATGTGCTTTAGTGAAGAAAATAGTCCTGTACCAGAAGAATTTGCACATAAATCAGGTATTTGAGCCAATTGAACAACTCTATATTAAATATAGTTAGAGAGGTCTTTGCTTCCCTAGGTCCGGTTTTGGTACCTTACTCTTACTCTGTGCTTCTCAGCTATGTGACTCCATATGCTGACATCTACAAGACAGGTATCTACAGATTGCAAATGTAGTGGCAGACATTGGCCTTTATTTTTACAACAGTAGTTTCTGTTCAGAGACCTGTGATGAAATGTTTTACCTCTTTTTCACCCTTTGTCAAATATGGAATTTGTACTTCAATTCCGTCTATTTTTTTGTGGAATAGTTGTTGATACACTGTAGTTAGCTGTCTCTGATGTCCCTTTAGTATTTCTTTTGGTTGTTTAATTTCTGTAGTAGTCCTTTCTCATCCTTCAGATTTCTCTTGCTGTTACTCATACCCTTTTCTGCATCATTAGACAATATACTGAACAGCTTTGGCTTAAGTTCAGGAATGGTCCTTCTAAGGATCATATTTCTTATCTTGCTGACTATTGACAGAATTCTTGTTAAGTTTCCTGTCTCAGTCATGCATACAAATTAAAAGCTAAAAACTTCCCAATTTTCTTCTGTTAATCTTTGTTTCAAGAAAACAAGCAGTCACTTAAGCAGAAGGATGAAAACTTAAGATTATTGACTACTTACTTGTTGGCCTTCTTGATAGCCTCAAATATAAAGACATAGCTGTATATGATAGCAATCAAAGGAATGAAAAAGACAAAGCAGAAAAGCAGCATCGTGTAGGCGCGGACTGATGGTGTGAAAGTCATGTAGTCCCAGGAACAGGAAGTCAGCAGACCCTCAGGCACATATGCACCTAGAAAGAAAGACAGAAGACATAAGCCATGAAGTGATTCTTAATTCTGAGTGCAGCAGTTAGAAAAAGATACTCAGAATAACGTGAGATTTAGTCCTGTTCTCTTAGAGGGAAAAAGAGGTTAAAAGGATACACGATTCTTGGCTTAAAGCACCTCTTTTTCTTGTCTTTTACTCTGTTGCCCTATTGTATTTATGTTTGGCAGTCTAAGGCTTCAGACCGGAAAATTGAATAATTTTGTTTCAGTACTCAAATATTGTCTAAAGCTCACCATAGTCAAAGGGCATCTCTCCAAATACTTCAGTGGATCAGACCCATATTGTTTTTAAGTATCTCCATTTCCTGTCAAATTGCTGTCTTCCCAAGGAGTGAAACAAAACCGATTGCTATAGCTACCACTTTTTTAAGCTTGTGCTTAAAAAAGCTTTACTGTGCAATGGAGGGAGATTTATTGTGCAGATCAAATTAATTTTGTCGTGAAGTAAAGTTGAGTGCAAGTAAAAAAAAATCATGCATACATAATATTCTGCCTGAAATAAAATATAATCTCCTTAAAGAAACTGTGTCAAACTGTTAAGTAAAGAATTGTCAACAGCAATGTCTTTTTACTTTTATATTTTAATTTTCACTATTTACAGTGATCTCTTCTGTTGAACTCTTAAAAGTATTGTACCAGACGTGCTCAGATGCATGTAATTGCTGTATGAGAGTTAGTATTGTAGGTACTATTAGAATCTAATTACAAGATAACAACACCCTTCAAGCAATTATTGCACCTTCTCCAATTAAGAATCTAGAATCTAAGACTATATTGCAGTTTTGTTGTTCTAACAGCTCCTCATTCAACTAAAGGCTGCTTCCAGTATTGCGGTTTGCCTGCTTAAACATGCTTCATGTTTATGGGGCACCAGAATGACAATAACAAGACAATAACAAAAATCTGCTGAAATTCCACTCAGTAACTGAGTTGGTTGCAGCATCCTTTGGGAAAATCAGACACTGCTATGTTCTCACCTCAGCCGCGCTGACACATTCTCTTCTGGAATTAGGGAGCACAATAACGGGCTGGGGTTTTGCATGATGAGTTCATTCTAATTTACTGACTGAAACTGGTGACTCACAGGAAACAAATTAATGGTAGTGAGGCGGATTCAAACGAGGAAGAACAACAGAGACTCTCTTGCAACAAGATTGCAAGGACCAAGATGCTCTGTGTGTGTTCCAATTTGCAGGGGTAAAATTCACATTTACAAAAGCAAATTAGTTAGTTATTACTAATTGCCATCCTTATTGGAAGCCCTAGTGAAGGTACTGGCTGAATGGAGAATGTGACCAATGCCTAGTGGAATTTGCCCATCTAGAACATAGTCAAGACTTAGTGAATAGGTACTTCCACAAAATACTCAGACTGTATTCCTTCTTTATGTGAATAAAGAAATGTAGATTGACACTACCATCTTACACATCACCTCTGGGGAGGAAAAAAAGTCATCAGAAAAAACCACAAATACATTTCTTTCACTTTTATACTGTTGAATTTAGTTCAACAGAAGTAGTATGGGATAATAGGCATGCACATCCTTCATAAATTTTGGCCTTGATTTTATCTACTGTTCTTTACTCAGTAAGTAATGAGCTTAAGGAATAGTGCCATTGTTATATAATATGATGTAATACACACTGATTTCTTTTGATTAGAGATCTTCAGTTTCAATATGTATTTTATCAGTTTCCTTTAAATTGATTTATTCAAGCCTAATATGCAAGCCATTAATTCAACCCTCTTCTATACCTGTAATCGGTCTTTAATCCAATGCTATGAGGGAAAAAAAACTTTTATTCCAGTTCACTTACTCCATCCAAAGAAGGGCGGGAGGCTCCAAGCCAAAGAGTACAGCCAGACTCCTACCAGGATTATTAGGGCTTTCTTCTTAGACATCACTCCAACAGAAGCCAGAGGTTTTGTGATGACAAAATATCTGTCCAAGGCAATCACCATCAAAGTGATCATAGATGTAATGCCAAACAGAGCTCCGCAGAAGGCATACAGCTCACAGCCTTTCAATGAAGATGACAGAAGTAGCAGTGAAATTAATCTACCCATGCTAATTAATTTCTGGGGGAGATCAAGTCTGTATTCCTTGTGAACTAATGTCTTCTGGAATTTGTAAAGTAATGGAACTTCAGTTTTCCTGCAGTTGTAATGCCATTTCAAAGCTGCTGTCTGTCTTGCTAATTACATTATCCATGGAGATAAACTTCAAAGATTTTGTTTGCTTGAATTGCTGGAGACAGTGATACTTAACATATTTTGACTCACTGATTTCTGATGTTTCTAGTGGGATCATTTCAGCAGTCCATTAATATCTTGTTTAACTCCAGTTTTACTGCAGCTCCCGTAGAAACAGCTGTTTTGCTTAACAATGGGTTATAGCTACTTTGATATCACGGAATGATTTATATCTCAAGGTCAGCATAACTGGAGTAAATACGCAGACTATGAATATATTAATGAGTTATTTTAATTATTCAAACAACCTAATGATTAGAAGCAGGGTTTTGTTTTGTTTTGTTTTTTATTTTTATTTTGACATGTATGCAATTGAACACTTCATGGAACTAAAAAAAATGTGCTTTTGGTCATCAGAGATCAAAATAGCACCATTACCTCTCTGACCTTCCTCTCTGTTAAGATCTGTTCAAGAGGCAAAGACTAGTCTGCCTCTTACTACACTTACAGAGGAAGAATGAAAGGACCTTCATTCCACATTTTCTTATTGCACAGGAAATGTTTAGTTAATATTTCTGTTGTGAAAACTCACTTTTGCCAAGCTTTCGTGTCTCACTTTGCCAGGTGCAAGTCCCAGAGCAGGTTATTTAGAAGAGCTATTAAGCTGGTGTGTTGGGAGTGGTGCTTCTTTGTCACGGGACTCTGCCTGTAACTAAGTTAGGAGATGTTTAGGTAAGAATGCTGGCAAGAAGACTAGCCCTGTGCCTTACATTGCCAGTATCACCTTTGTATCTTATGTGTGTAATTTTCCTCTCCATGGTGGGAATGTATTTATTGCTTACAGACAAAAATGTTCAAAGAAACATTTGTGTCAACATTGAAACAATGTTGAGAAATGCTCTCAACATTGGAGTGTACCTGAGGATAAGGAAATAGTACATTAACTGCCATTATGGTAAGAACATACTTAGAGTTTTATTAGAAAGAATATATACAAACCTTTCTCACCAAAAATCCAACGTTTGTGGAGGCTGTTAGTGAAAAAAACTGGAGACTGTGTAATGGACATCAGGAAGTCACTAATAGCTAGATTGATGATGAATACGTTGGCTGGAGTCTGAAGGCTCCTACTCCTAAAAACATCAAAAGGAATGTGGCTGAACACTGCTGCACTGGTAATTACGGTTTTACTCTTTCCTGTGAGCCTTGGCAGCTTCACAAGGCACACTACATAGCAAGCTAGAGCAGAGTGCTTCTTATTTCCCTCACTAGAGAACGTAAGCAAGGCTCAGTTTTACACATTTATATTCCTGTGCACTTTAGAGGATTGTTTTGAGAACCAGCTCAGTGATGGGGATAAATAATATTGTTCTTTAAATATCCTGACCTGGTGCACTGCATGTCCATGATTAACAGGAAATTAAAGTTGATGTCCTCTATGGATTTGCTGGATCTGGGTCATGTTAAGCAAGGGGAGGGGACTGCCTTTTCCACTGCTGCTAAGATCAACAGTGACTTCCAAATACAGGGATTAAGCAAACTCACTATGAACCACATCAAGCATTTTGTTTTACATCAATTCTTCTCGTTTCACTGGCCCAGGCACTGACTTTGAAGAGAGCAATAGCCAGCCTTCAGCGTATCCTGCCTATATATGGTATTCATAATATTATAGTACGATGTTTCAAAGGGTACACATAAAAGCTCAACTGAGAGCTCCTCAGTTTGGGGCTCAGTGTAACTTTTTAGCTCCTTTCTCAAATTTTCAGTCTTAGACACAATTGAAAAACACCAGAATAAATGATGGGTTCCTTGCACTGGTCCAGAATCAATCACTAGGACTACAGTCCCCTATCTGTCAATTTAGGAGCAGGGAGATATTATTAGTAGATGCTTATGGGCCGCTTGTATTTGTTCAGTAGTCTGCAAAGTTACTGAACATATTTCTGGTTTGGGCAGCTGGCTGTCTTACAGTTTGCCATTACTTGAGACTGCATGTAGATGCTTGTAGGCATCTGATGTGTCCTCTGAACTTCTGATGTACTTGATACTTTGCTATCAACATCCCTTTCTGTCTTCATACCATCTTCAAATGAAGACAAGCTGTGTCCTCTGGTGGAACTGCAACTGCTGTGACTGGATTTCCTGTATGGGACCAGCCAAACAGCTAAGCTAGCTCATATACTTATCCTCACATATCTGGTCTGCATGCCAACACCTTTTCTGTTTTTTAAGGCCATGTCGTTCGCACTTAAGTCTTGGTATCTACTCCGAATGCACATACTGAAACCTACCATTTAATGCACCACATAAGTATAGGCTCGAGACACAGACTACTTCATCCAGACTCCAGTCATTTAGTTAACACAGCCAAATTATCATATAGTTGCTACTATTTTGGTTTATTACAGTAGCGCCTAAATACCAATCATGAACTAGAAGCTCACTGGTCTGGACATCACACCAATGCTCTGCCCCAGTATGACAAAACAGAAACAGGATGAGTGAACAGGAATGGTGAAAATATCACATTGTTGTCAGAGATCCAATTTCCTTCAGATATAAAAGTTGGAATGTGGCTTTAGATAAAATCAAATAAGCTAAGTGTTAGAAAATGTGAAAGCAAGAGGCATGGCCAGTAAGGAACAGAAGCAGAAAAGAAACTGAGTAGTAAGCAGCAAGAGGCAGAAAACATCTAAAATAGAGAAGAGATGTGGGAGAGACAGGTGCAAAATTTCCCATCAGTCCAATGCAGACACAGTTCATACAGTAGAAAAAAATTCATGGGAAGGTTGTTGCTTTGGCTGCTTTTCTATTGCTTGTCATGTCAGGGTGATTCTTTGCAATTTTGCTAACAATTTTGCTATGGCTAATGGGAAGAAGTCAGAGGGAAATGGCAGGTTGCCGCTTTTTTTTCCTACAGCAATGTCTCTTGGTGCATTGTACTATGTCTGCATAGTAGTCTGATAGTATGCCTGTGCTGCGTTTGCAGAGCACAGTCAAGGTACTGTTAAAGTTCATAAATTCAAGTATTTAAAAAATCCAAATGAAAGGTACCTGCAGAAAGCATAGATGACCAGAAAATTACCCAGCGTTCCTGTGATCCCCACTATAAGAATGACTACTCCAATTGTATAATGGGCATGGTCTGGGACATCCACTGTAGGAAAGGCACCAGGAACATCTTGCATTGTCATCTTCTGTGGAGTAAACAAGAGGTCATAGGTTGTCAGACTTTACTGAACAAGCTGGCATGTGCTTCTCTAGAAGAGGAAATGGGCAAGAATGCAGAAAGACAGCAAGCAAAAGAAGTTAGAATAAGCTAATTGCTTTCAAATTATGTTTACTCTTGATCATCTTCAAGAGATAAATATGCCATCAGCAGTGCAAAGGTCAAAGGGCAGTTTATACCTTTATTGATGATGTAGAATTTTGCTGAATAAGAGCAATCTATCCTCTCCCAAAAGAAAGATAAGGATATAGAAGAGAAAAAGAGAGACAGGAAGGGACCCTTTTTATTGCATCTGACATCAAGTAATGCAGTACTTTACTTACTTAACAACAGATAAGTTTGCTGTAGTTTTCATTTCAGGAAGGTTTCTGTACTTATGAAGTATGATTTCTGTGGCCCTCTGACATCACTTGCTAGACTTCTCTAACTAAGTAGAAATGATCTTCTATGGATAAATGTGCATTTATTCCTTTAGTCGTATGGCTATTACATTTCTCCCACTGAACAACACCTAATTGCTCGCTGCCCTGAAGACTTAGTTACCAAAAGCCTGGCAGCATTAAGCAAGAGTCTTTTGGAAACTAAATGAAGGATCAGAAAAACTAAACCACAAATACTTTATACCTTATGCCTGGTTTCCATACCAGTTCTGTTTTTCCTCTGCACTGAATGTTTTTTGCTCTCTGTGAAGTACGTGGTAAAGCACTTGATGAAGGCATTTGCATCTTAATCAACTAATAACTCATAGTAAAATTCAGTACCCAAGCTTGAAGACAACAGCATTTTAAACAATTCTCTAAAAACATTTTTTAGTTAAACATCAGGAGCCACAAACACATTTTAGGCCAAGCAACTCCAGATTAGTAATGAAGCAAACAATAAGGCTGCACCCAGGAAGCAGGATGACTTGATAGAAAGTGAAGAGGGGAGAAGAACAGCTGTCCAAACCATCGCTGTTCTGCTGCCTGTTGATATAAGGTCAGACTTAAACACCTCTGTGCAACTGCCACTGTCCTAAACGTGTCTTGGCATCAGCTCCAACCAGCTAATGTAGTCATGAAAAATACCAAGCCCTATCTTCATTCATCTGCATGGACAGATCCTGTCTCCATAGCCAGGCTTTTCTCTCCAAGGGTGGCACTTGTTCTGGAATGGCATGCCATGATCACCGCTTATAGCTCAAGCCTGCAAGCTGCAGCCAAGGCATTCCTCAGCTACTGACCTACAAGAATCACACCAGAGTGGAAAAAAGCCCGGGAAATATTTTGAATTGCTTGCAGCCTGCCTACTGTGAATACTGTCAACCTACCTGGCTGTGGCCTAGGACGCAGGACAAGGGAATTGCCTGTACCTAGTTTTGTGCCTGTACCAAGCTTTAATAATGCTATGAGGCTGAGTATGTTCTTTGCAGTCACAAGTACTGGCAGGTGATGGTACAGCTGTCATACGCAGTCATTCCTTCCCAGGGAAAGGAAGGTTGCTGGTAGGAAAAGAGGAAAGTGCACAGAGGTAGATATGAAGTTCTCCCTTTTATGCTACAGTTGTCAGTAGTTGGCATTCACCATTAGAGTGCAACTCAGAAATGCCTTTGATAACACCCCAGTTATCAAAGGAAATGGGTATTTTCAGACAATAGAGACAGATGTTACTTCTGAATAAATCTGTGAGATTGCGCTGAAGTCATTAGAGACTCTGTATTTAAAACCAATGTGCCAGTAGCAAGAGGTGAACCCCAGGAGCATCTGGAATTCTGGAAGAGATTGTCTTTGCTTGTGTGCTGAAGCTCTGCCCACAGCAATCCTCAACAAGTAGAGTGCACTCCCTGGGTTTCTACATTAGCAGCAATTAAATGCTGGACAAATACTCTGGTCTTAGAGAGAGAAAATGTAGCTCTGGCTGTTACTATAATTGGAGCAAAATGTGAAGGTTGATGCACTAACTGAATGACAGTATCATGACATTTATTGTTCAGGTTCCTGCAGCAAAGTGTAAGTTGGCATCACATCATCAACATCAATGGGCATCTTGCCTAGATAGAAATTGCTGTGCTTAACACACTGCCAGTAAAATAAGAAAAAAATCCCATAGTAATAGCAAGTGGAGAGGGAGAGTCTGAGATAAAACTGTTTTAAATAAATGAGACTGGGTGTTCTTTGGTTTGTTTGTTGGTTTTTTATCCTTAGCCTTGTAGCTAGAAGATTTTTAAATGCTGTTCTACAGCAGTTTAAACAGCATCAACAGGGTTGATGATGATTATTAATGGCATGCAGATTTCTGATATTTTTCCCTGTAGCTATCCATTTAATCAGAACTGGATCACGGTAACAGAAATGAAGCGACTAAAGGAGCTTGTTTTGGCTACAAAGAACAGATTAGAATGGCTTTAATTTGAATTAAATTTGTGGAGGACTAAGGACAAGGAAAAATTTGAAAGATAAATATAAATACACAGCAAAATCACAAGAGACGAAAGGTTGTTTAGGGGACAGTAGAAGACTTTAAAATTACTTATCCAGGAATGAAACAAGTTGAGAGTCAATAAAAATGTCAAGTGTGGAAAAAAAAAGGAATAATATTTATATTAGAGCAGTGATAGGACATAAATAATACTAAATATAAGGGCAAAGAAAGTTCTGTGGCAAAGAGGAATAAATTCACATTTTAGTGTGGACTTCCTGTAGGCCTGGGATTTTTACCATGGTGCTTAACTGGGCTCTAAGAGGAAGAGGGAAAAGTCAATTATTAAAACAAAGTAATTTCACTCTCTTTATTGGAAATACAGAACTGATTCAAAGCTTCTTTAAGTCAAAGAAAGGTACTAGTTGACCGACGAGGCATTAGATCAGGCCTAAGCGCTTCAAATTCATCACTAAGTTGCACACATACAGCTTCCTTACAAGAGGAGGAAAACGCATGCCTGTATCAAGTTGAGCTCTAGATCTTTTAAGGGAATTGCAGGTCAAAAGAAAGGACAGGGAGAAAAAGATAGCGCTTGAGGAAATCAGGCCAGCAGGATAATCAAGAAATCAGACAATACCCAAAGCTTTTCTCTATTCAGTTGCTCCAGCAGATTAGCCTTGTTTAGTCTCGGTCTTCTGTTGTCGCCCCATGGTATGAGTACGTGGTTGGCAGGGGAAAATGAAAATCCCACTGTTGCAATCGCCACTGTAGCAACTGTCCTTTGAGAATACTCTGAACAATTATTTCAGTTGCATTGATAATACAGAGCATTGTTGCCTTGCATGTTTTTTCTGTTCAGCTGCCTTCTTATAAACACCTCGTAATGAAGATAAGAAAAATGAACAGCCAAAACCAGCACCTCATTATTTCTCTTCCAAGTGATATGACAACAGTTTACTTAATGTAACATGTTCAAAACATCACCAAATGCACAAACAAACTGAACTGGAAGCTAAGACTTTGGGCATTTTCCAGTGGATGGACAATGGACTACAGCTTTCCTAAGTCAACAAATAAAAGATGCTTGTATCTGAGGCTCTGGACCACTGGGTGCCAGTATACCCACAGGCCTACTGTGCTGTGGGTGGCTTAGGTCGGTATTAATTCTGTAGGAAACAGTTCACTGGGAAGCACCAACTTCCTGACAGTCAGTCAAGATAAATATTGCACATTTCTCAAGCAAGCAAACCAAATGATCATGAAAGTTGTGGAGCACATCAAGGTAGTAACTGTAACATAAGAAAATTTCTTCACAGTAAGGGTGAAGTTGGAAACTGAGGGTCAGTTGGAGGACATACTTTCTAGCCAAGGATGGCACTTTAGTCAACCTTAAAAGCAGGTTTTATAATATTGTTTGGGTGCATATGAAAACTGGCCTTTTCCTAGAACTGTAAAAGAATTTGTGTTTTTAATCGCTGATAGGCATGCCAGTTATTATTTATTTACACTAAAGTTTTGCAAAATCACATGGATAATTTTGGTGTGGTAAAGGAACTTGGGAAGTGCCACACCAATCAGACCAGCATTCCTGACAAAACCCTAGCCTGCCTTTAGCCATGACTGGGTGTTTCACAGAGCTATGAAACATGCGTAATGAACAGTGATGTGGAAATTTCATGTTCAGTATAGAGTCTTAGCAGTTGGTTTGTACCCTAAACCAGGGTTATTATCCCTTCGAAAGGATAATCTTAGTGGAGGATATTTTTATCCTCCATATATAGGTGTAATCCTTTTCTAAATCCTACTCTATCGTTTGCCTCATGTGAGTCAGTGGCAAGAAGTTATGAAGTTGCTCCACATGAGTGTATTTCCTTCCAGCAGGTTTAAGTGTATCCTTGTGGAAACACTAGAAGAGAGGGAAACACCTAGGTTTAATGCAGTCTGCATTCTTAAAATGCTCATTGTTCTCCCTACAGGAATGCTTGTCTACTGCCTACAACAAAACAACTAAACCAGAACTGACTGTGTTTTCAGTTATCATTCATTAAACTTGATTGAGACTTACAAACTTGAGATGCTTTTGGGGAGTCTGTAGAAAGGAAATGTTTGATAGATAAATATGTCTAAATCCTTGCTGTTCTGGCCTTGTCTGTGGAGGCTGCAGCACAACATGGAGCCTTGTTATTCTACATTTATGGCCTGCTGCCACAGCTGGTTACAAGGGAGGCAGAATTCTTCCTGGAGGGCCAATCTGAGGAGCCAGCCTGCTGCTTCAGTAAGAGAGCAGCGCACAGTCCCTTCCCTTCTGCTAAGGCTTCGTGCAAGCAGAGAAGGGGTAAAAATGAATCAGCCACAGAGAACATCAGTGTAGGGCAGAACTTGTATTTCACCATGAAGTTTGTCGAGACCCTTCAAGACACTGGTCTGAAGAGAGGTAAAAGGATAAAGCAATTCCTTTGCAGTCCGGGACAAAATCACGATTCCTAAGTGATTTGCCCAGGTTAGAAAGAAGTCCAGATCAGATAGAAAACCCAGGAATATTTGATGCCTGCATCTGTTCTGTCTTGGGAATCTGTTTATTGTACACATTTTCCTAAAGAGAAGGTTTTCTAAAAAGTTATTTCATAATTGATGAAAAAAAACCCAAACCAACCAAACCAGCTCACCTCTGAATAACTGCTAGTAGAATACATACCATTTTTAAAAGTCCAACCCTTCCCCCCCTAGCCTGAGAAAAATATCTGTGTATAAGTGAAAAAGGGACAACATGCAAAAAACACAGTTCAGCTATTATTGGGGCAAAAAAATCTGTTCTTTTTCAGAGTAAGAAAAAAATCATGTCGCCTAATTACTGTTCACTTGGAGACGCTGATTACTCAAGTCCTCCTGAAGCTAACAGTGATGATGATAGGAGCAAGGCCATGTATGTAAATACTTGTACTGAATATAAATCATATTTGATATAGCCCACTCCTCACGTTCTCCCAATGGCAAGAGTATAAAGCACGGTTTAGTTTATACTTACAGGGAAAGAAGGAATCCTCATAAGGTCATTTGGGGATTTGAGCAGCCCGACACTGACTTTGGCAATATATCAGGTTTCTTTGTTCTTAATTTTCCTACCAACACAGGTAATGAAGCTGCTTATTTACACAGTATGACTTACACTGCCAATGGTAGTGTTAGGCCTTTCACATTACAACAAATCATATAGTTTAGAAAAATTATCAGAACACAAATACTGTAATTTCCTAGGGTTTCTAGGTGCAATGTTTGTACCGCCTACCTACAAGAGGCCTCGAACAACTGATAGCACTTATTTTTCTTCACAGTGCCTTGCTCTGATTTCTGAGCTTGCCTCTGTAGGCACTTGCTCTGTGATGACAGGCAGCACAAAGAGGAGTGTAATCCCACCTCAATTATGGTTTCAGCAGGGTGACGCCAACTGCTAAGCCCTCTTTCCAGTAGGCAGCAGGGCTTTCCATAGATGATGTTTGTCCTGTTGAGCAATTTGGATAGCAGATTTTGTATCCTGTCTTCCGGATTTAATCTCAACCGCAAGCAGCACATATTGCTTTCCATCCTGAAATTCTCTTAAACCAATCTTTGTGTCAAATTAAAATGCAAAAGTTTGACCATACAAGTCACTTGACCTAGGGAGAGGAAACGGGCAGCTCATTACCTCTTTCAGCAGAATAAGGAAAAAATCCCATTTTTAATTTTCCAATGTAAATCACTCTGTCCCCCAGCATCCTTTTCCATTTTGCCATGCGCTCTCCAGTTTCTCTTCTGCCTTCCTGCTATGTTCTGCTATCCTCTTTCATATGTTATCCATCTAATTTAGTTTGTAAGCGCCTTGGCTCAGGACACTTCTCTGTTTATTTTCCTGTAATACACTGTGCACATCCAGGTTTTATTAAGAAAATAAATAAACAGACTGTATTTTTATTATGCAGATAATAAAATATTTACCTGTCCTTCATTACAAATTAGGGTCAAACTGAAATACTCAATCCAACATCCTATATGTGTAAAAACTTCTGGAGTGTTTGAAACTTGCACGCAATTTTTAAGTGTCCGCTGTGTTATGTGGACCATGCCAAAATACCTGGTGTGACCACATCAAGATTTTAAGTTGAATTTCAGATTTGAGAAACTTTAGAAATTAGCTTGGGTCATTTTTTTTATTCTTTACTTTTATAGAGACCTTTGTATAAGCAGCAGGCGAAGAAAATTTTGTAGTCCTAATAGTATACTGAGATACACAACTGTGAAGAGGACTTTGGTTTGGGCTTGTAGGGTGGGATGGAGAATATTTTTAGTGTGCCCAAATAAATTCCATCCTGAAGTGTCATCATAACAGATTCTCACCATCACGCTTCTAAGGAAATTTTCTTTCTGTTTGGTATTGAACAGCTGAGAAAGAGCTTTGGTAGAACTTACCTGGGAAAACCTTCTGAACAGCTCTCTTGGGTAACTGCAAATAACAACTCTTATCATTTACATAAGCATTCCACTGCACTTACAGACTATTACAGAAATGATGGGGATTTCCATCTTGAATAATAACACAAGAGAGCATTGTGCTTGAACTGCTAAACAGCTGTTTACCACACAAGAACATCTTGTTTTGATAGGTTGCAACGTATTTGGTGTACTTTGCCATTAGACATTCCTCCCTGTCTTCTGCCCATGTAACTCTGCTGAAAAACACTGCTTTTACTGTCCTTTCTGCAGTAAATAGTCAAAGGAATAAAAAGAAGATTTTTAAGTTTTCATTATGTTGTTCATTATTTCATTACAGCATTAAATGTATACATGCACCTTAAAAGGCCATTTAAACTTCTATGAATTCCAGCTTTGCCAGCAGAACTACTTGCTACAGCTTTTAGTGACAGAAAACACTTACTGTTGGGGCTCTAAGAGGCAGGTCCATCAGCATGTAGGCACTGGCTTCCGAGTCATTCCATGCATTGAAGAAGTCCACAGTTTTGGTGCCGTTGGGGTCCTCAAAAGGGACAAGAGATGCCCCTTTGAATGGGCTGATTCTGCAGGTGAATAATATCTAAGCAAAACCAAAAAAAACCTCTCCTCTGAATTCAAGTCAGGTAAATTACCTTTTTGTGTGTGTGTAAAGCAGACTGCCAGATTCTCTGGAATAATGTGAGATCCAGTGCAGAGTTTCTTACTAGAGCTTCAGATTGCTTCGCTCCATCTTCAGCTTAGCAAAGGGTAGCAGCAGCAGCGGTTTCCATTTAAATACAGGAGATGGCAGGGTCCGCACATGCCCAGTTTGAAGCTTGTTCCATCCAGATTTCAGCTTCACTTTAATGACAGCATAAAACTGATGCCCACTTAAAAGTGCTGTTATCTTTTTTGCCTTTGACGGTCTTATGTCTGTATTTTAATGCTATATCCACATAATCCCTGTGTGAAGACAAAGAAGTTAAAAGGTTGACTTCATTACCTGTCTTAAATATTAGACCTTGTTGTTCATTTTCACTGGATTGGTGAATTAGTTTTTTTGTAGTCTGCTTTTAAAGATGATGTATGTGTACAGTTCTGCTGAAATTGTCTGAACTCAAATAGAGTCTGATATTTAACAATGTGCTTGTGCGCACTTCTGTCTTGTAGAATTTAGGTCACTGTTGTTTGTTGGTCCACTTCTAAAAATAACTGAAAAATAGGGATAAAACCCACTGACATCATCCTTTTCTGCTCTTCAGTTAAAAAAAAAAAAAGCACACAAATACCTTAGGCAGAGAACAGCAAATAACCACTTCTTTCAAGAGTTGTCTGATTTCTTCTTCAGTTCTGTTTAGTTAGGGCTTACATGAGCAGATTCTTATTCACACAAATTTTCCATTACATTGCACTGTGCGAAGAAACATGAATTGCTGTATTCCCAGGTGAAAGCTGGTTTTCGCTGTGGTAAAGTGAAGTTTAATCGCAGTAGAGAATTAGGCACAGAGTGTGAAAAAGCTGTTCTAGCAGATACTACAGCCTGAATATCACAGAGTTTAGGCCTCCCACCCACCGTCAAAATGACCCTATTGCAAGCTATTAGCCTTATTGCAGTAGGTAATAAAAATAGATAGTGTGAACTGTTTCAGGAAAGCCTTTGTGAGAAGGCTGTGATAGTAATGGTGGAAACTGTATTCCCTCAGCTCCTCCCCTTCTCACATACCTTTCCTTAAACTAGCACTTGCAGTACCTAACCTTAAATTGAGGGAAAAGGGATCGCGTATCTTTGCGTGAACAGAAGCTCTGCCTCTATATCAAAGGCACTCACCTATAGTGCTGCAGATTCCTTTTCCTTGATAGTCATTTAAGGAAGGCAGCATTTACCTTGTGTCACCAGGCCACTGAGCATTAACCAGAGGAGGAACTTCTTAGACTATACAGGCTCTCAAACTGTGAGACCTTAAAAATAATTCTTAGCAGACCTGTTGTGAAAGGCAGAGAGATTTCATTGAGTATCCCTGCCCTGCAGTGTTAGGTAGACACAACCAAGACAGATTCAAACTGGCTAGTCACCTGACATATCGGGGCAACGGTAGATGTGGCATTAATGGTACGTGCTTCAAAAGACGTTGATGTGAACTCCAGATCCATCACGCTGTGTTCTTGTATACGCATTCTTTGTATGCAGCAAACACTGTAGGTATGAGGCAACAGCGGTGCTGGATATTTTGAGGGACAGGTCCTTTTTTGGAAGACAATTTTGCACTTTAGTACTAAAAGGGCAGGAGATGTCATTACAGAAAGCCACAATGTGAAACTGGCAAAAGCTTGTACTATCTTCAGATAAAGCTTATCAAGGGAGTGGAGCAGAAAGTACATTTTAATGATTGAAGTGGAGAGAAAGGAAGGAATGGGAGATTTCCCATTTGCGTGAACTTTATGTTCAAAGAAATTGCTTACTGCATAAAATTTGAAACATACAATCTTCAAGGACAGGCATAAATATTAAATCAGGGGTGTTCCTTGACTCAGTATTCTAATTTTCCTTACTCAGTTCATCTTAGTTTTCTGCTTTGTCTTAGCTTTGTGCAACACCAACACTCAATCTGTTTACATACAGCTTGTACATTGTTTGCCTTTTCCTGTGTTACAGATGACATTTTTCTTCCTTCTTATTTCTTCTCATCTTAATAAAAAGTCAGTGCAGTGAAAGTGTTTCATTTCCAGTTAGCCTGGAAGCATCCAATTCTTTGGCATTTTTAGGGGAGCCCATAATACGTTTGGAATCAAATAATGGAATAAATGTAGGGGTTTTTAAGTAAATCAGACATAATAGAAACTATGTGTCTTCTTGCTTCACTAGATTTGGTGGTGTTGTACATACCTTTCCAGATAGATTAATTTGATTAGTTCAGCAGCTGCTGAGAGTATATTATGAAAGAATATGCAGTATAAGGAAGAGAAAAAAAGTTTCCCCAGTGAGAAGTGGATGCTACTCCAAAGAAAACTATTGATTTGGTGTCCTTCCCTAGCCTCTGCGACCTGCTTTTGTGAATGCTAAGCACTTGCAAGCTAGGCGAAATCTAGTTCTGATCATTGCACCCTAACACTAAGGTTCATGTCCAATGGAAGTGTTCTCATACAATTACAGTTGTCTGATACTGTGTTATAGCCAATTGCTATAGGCGATTTAGCTGACCCATTTTATATGCAATGCCTCAGCTTCCATGGAAGGAGAGGAGGCATCTCCTAGAATTGCACAAGGTATGAAGTATGAGGCTTCTCATTCTCTGTACCTAGGGCTTGGGAAGTCAGACAAATACATGTAATAGCAAATCATTCACAAAACGTTTTTTCTCAGATCTGCTTCTGTTTTATGTGCAGTATTAAACCAGAGAGAAAAATTCAAAAAGTATTTTACAGAGCAATAATTGTTTTTCATTATAGGTAAGGCTTAAAGTCATCAGAAGGCTAGACCTATGGATCTAGAGGGAAATTTGCCCTCTGTCTCTCCCTTGTTTATTCCCCACCATAAACTTACCTCTGTTGTATCCCTGGGAAGCTTAATGGAGAAAATATATCAGCTCATGACCCTAGGTACTTTCTAAAGCCATCCTGCTCATCCTAAAGTTTTCAAACGTTTCTGCTGCAGTTTTGTGTGTGAAACATGCCAGAAGCCCACGTGGTTTATGGCCCAGGTCTGAGTTGCCCTCCAGTCACTTCTGGAGGGAATAAATCCTGCCCCAAATTCATCTCTCCAAATTCAGTCATGCTGAGGTACGGTGAGAACATTCTTCCCAGTTTTAGAGTCTTAACTTTCACCTGCATCTCTTGCTACTGATAATTAACTTCTGTTCATAGCTTTTTATAAGCTACAGGCAGAAATAGCAGAAAGGCCACAGACTCTGGGGCCTTTCCATGAAACTGAGAAAATTCTCTAACAGGACAAGGGAAAGATAATGCATGGGTAAAATTTAATTAAAGTCCAAAGGAGCATAGGAGTTCTTTCACAATGAGTGAAAGGGAACAGTGCCCTCCGATTTGGCTGGGAGCTCTGCGCGGAATTAGGTTTTAGCTCGTCTGCAGGAATACAGAATGACTGAAAGAACAGGTAATCTGCTTAGAAGATAAAGACTGCTGTTGGGAAATGCCAGGAGAGTTAAAAGACCAGGAGTATGGTCAGCCAGGCATTAATGTCCCTGAGACGTATTTACAACAGCTTACCTTAGCTTCCTTAAACCTTACAAAAGATCACCTAGAATTCCAAGGCCAGCATGAGGAAAGAGGAATAGACTACTCAGTAATGGGAAAGGTAAACTCCCACTCTTCAAGTGCAGATACAGTTCTGGTATTTGAGTTATCACAAATGAGGAATGCACAAAGCAAGGAAGTTGGGTGATTTTTTCCCATGGTTATGATGGGAAGAATGATAGTGATAACCCCTGCAAAACATCTTGGGGATAACAATGCTACCCTCAAAATATGCTGTGCTTGCCTTCCAAACGTGCTAGTTCTTTCAGTAAGTGATGGGATAGATGGAGGAATTACTGATTTTTCACACGAAAGCCTTCCATTTTCAGTATCCGCCTTTCAAAAGACAATACCACACTATAAAATCTGAGTCCATAGCAGCCTTCCTTACACAGTCCCTCCTGTATAGAAGTTGCAAGTCTTGGGTATTTGGTGTGGTATTGCTTGTCAGTGGCTGTAACATCTGAAAACACGTCTCTCAGAAGCATTTTCAGAGGCCTACTTTTGTACCAGTACCTGCAACAAACTTATCTGCTTAGACAGGCAGGTGAAAGCTGGTTGCTCATTTTATACAAATCTGGTTTCAACCATCTGTGTTCTTTTTACCTTTTAACAGCTAAGATCTGTCACGTGGGAACTCTCCCACTTCCTAGCCATTCCCAGCCAGCGTAGTGCAATTTTGGCACCCCAAATAACAAAGCAGGGAGCAAGTTGTGTAATATATATCTTCTTTGTGCTCTATTAATCATAGAAATTAAATTTAGTTCTTCATGCCTGGAGTAACTTGGCAAGGGGACATGGAGGCAAGAACACCCTTTGTAAATAAAATTGTTAAACTGAGCACAAAGTTCTGTATGGCCGCTTATGGGAGCACACTGTTGGGACTACCCAAAAATCAATAGACAAAATAGAAAACAGTAAATCAACTCAATGTGGTTTCTGCTCAGCTGTTGAAGTGAATAATTCACCTCATAGGTAGTTTAATTTTGTAGGGTAGCCAGTATCTATGGTGAAGAGCAAAAGCACAAACTGCTGGTTGCAGCCAGCAAGTGAGTAACACTGCAGAGCTGTTTAGCCCCATAGCAGGAGAGTGAGAATCCCAGGGCTGGACTGAGTGCAGAAAGGCCAGACCAAAAAGGATGGTTTAGAAAAGTCCATTCAAACACAAGTTTTTTTTCTAAGACGTAGCAAAAAAAAAAAAAAAAAAAAAAAAAAAGTCTG